CTCAGTAAGTTGGATCTATTTTTAAGTATTAGGGCATTATCTCATAAAGAGTTTTCAGCAGTTTGGTAATCTGGATAACAAGAGTGGAAAACAACCAAGAAGTTTTATTCATTTTCATTTGGGCATCCCTGCTCTTGGCTACTTTTGCACAGCCCTGGCCAGTAGGGAAAACTCAGTGCCTAGTGACTGTTCTTTGTCACTCCATTTTGGGCTCTTCTCATGACTGCCTCCTCAAAACTGGATTTGCCATGATTCTGGGCAATGATAGAAAGAAATGAAAGAAAGCAATGATAGAAAAAAAAAATGAAAGAAAGAAAACAGGAGCAACGGGTAGTAAGAGGTCTGTATTCTGTAGTAAAATGTCTAGATTAAGGGTACCTGGGTGGCTCCGTCAACTGGGCTTTTGCCTTTAGCTCAGGTCATGATTCCAGGGTCCGAAGATTGAACCCCACATCTGCTTCTCCCTCTTCTGCTCCCCTGCTTGTATTCTTTCACTCGCTCTCTCAAATAGATAAAATCTTTTTTTAACTGTCTAGATTAATTATAAATATATATATATACACACATATATATATATTTTTTTTTTTTAAGATTGTTTTTATTTGTCAGAGGGAGAGAGAGCACAAGCAGGGGGACCGGCAGGCAGAGCAGGCAGAACAGGGAGAGAGGGAAGCAGGCTCCCTGCTGAGCAAGGAGCCTGCTGTGGGGCTTGATCCCAGAACCCTGGGATCATGACCTGAGCCGAAGGCAGCTGCTTAACCGACTGAGCCACCCAGGCATCCCAAATTCTTTATAAATATTAAAAACAGATTTTTATTCTGAACAGACTTGTTGGTGTCTGCTTTATATTAAATCCCTATTCTGAAATAGCTGTTAATAAGTTGGAATTTCCTCTGTGTGGACCGACAGAGGAAAAGAAACTAGAAATCATGGACTTTATGCTTTTATAATAATCAAGTTCAGAGAGTTTCTTAGCCACCATTTAGTCTAGCCAGTTACTCGTAGAATTCCTTCTAAAACATCTTGCTTTCATTAGAAATCTCATCCAGTTGTTGAATACCAGTCCTGTGGAAGCTATTTCACTGAACCTAAGTCTGTTTCTGTGTTTGTTTTTCTCACGTGACAGCCTCTACATCTTCCCTCCAAACAATAAATTTCCTCCCCATCTCCCAGCTCTCTTATTCCTCCTCCTGCTCACACACTCTGAAGTTCTTCGCCAGCTCTCTCGTTTGTCCTATTTTTTATTTTCCTTGACAGTGTCTTCCCTTACATCCTTCTAATTCCTTCTTCACAGTGTAAATAAACTGCAAACGCAAGCAAATAACAAGGCAACTTTACCTTCTCCATGCCTTTACCAAAGTTCATTTTAAACAAAGAAACCCATAGCAACTTCTGCACAGCCAAGAGCAGAAGGGAGACCTTCAGCTGCTGATCACTGCTGATGAAGGCCATCACTCATATGAAGTCATCCCATTATTATTAAAATAATTTGAAAATTATTCCTATCCCAAGACAAAAGCTGAACTACCCTTGTGACAAAATATTATTGGTAGGTTAGTAGTGACCTGTAAATACATAATTAGGATTGATTTTTCTGAGTGTTTCTTCATAGCTCAGCCCCTTTCTAACCTTCATTGACTGAACCCAGATGCTTATATCACCATCTGTGATTTTGCAGAATTGAGCTGTCCTTAAGCTACGATTTGGCATCGATTCTGTATGGAACTTAAATTGTTTTGTTTTTTGGTTGTTTTTGGGGGGGTTGGTGTTTGTTTTGTTTTTAAGATTTTATTTATTTATTTGACAGAGATCACAAGTAGGCAGAGAGGCAGGCAGAGAGAGAGAGGAGGAGGAAGCAGGCTCCCTGCCGAGCCCGATGTAGGACTCGATCCCAGGACCCTGAGATCATGACCTGAGCCGAAGGCAGAGGCTTAACCCACTGAGCCACCCAGGTGCCCCCTTGTTTTTGTTTTTTGATGAATATGCATTCCATAGCTTTTTCAGTCTGTACATGCAACATAACTTTAACATGACTGGTTAATTTTTAAAAATAAGGTAAAATTTAGTTAGCAGTATGCTGATAAAAACAGTTAAAATCTGCTAGAGGCATGTGTCAAAATTTATAAGACTACAGAAGTTAGTGTTGGGTTTTACCTGATTTGTTTCAAAGTGAACAAGGTGCAGTGTCGTTTCTATCTAAACGTAATGCTCTTGAGAAATGACAACATTGCTGGAGTTTCTGACCAAACTTGATCATTCAGTACAAGTGTGACTTGTTGAGATGTTTCTTTGAAGGTCAAGGATGCTTTTTCTGTAACTGTGTTAGATCTTAAGAAGTGCAACCAGAATGTTTCAGTCTTTGGTGAGATTTGTTTCCGAAAACTGACAATTGACATAGACAATGAAGAATCAGTTGGCGATTATAATACATTATTCCATTTAGCTAAAGATTGCACAAGTGATTTCAGGATGGTATCAGTTACTGGCATGCATATATATATATATATATATACATATATATGAATGATACCAGAGGTGACTACACACAAGATCCAGATGAAGAACAGTCGTGGCATGGACTAGGGTAAGAGGTGGAGGCAGTCAAAAGTGCTCAGATTCAGGACATGGTTAATGTAGACCTGTAGGAGCCCACCATTGAGTATGAGAGAAAGAGATCTTAGGGTGACTTCAAGCTTTTTTGCCTGAACTACTGATAAAATGGACTAGCCATTGTCTAACATGAGAAAACCCTTGCTAAAAGAAGCAGGGTCTTTTATATGATCAGTTGCTTGTGCTTGACTCCCATTTATAGTCACTAAAGAAAGCTTATGGAAGAAACACTCGTTGGAATTTGTGAAAGAGACTGAGAATTAATGTATGTGGACCAAAGGGGCACTAGTTTACATTAAAACTTTATAGTAGCAGAGAGTGCTACACAGGACCTGTTGTTAGATGTTCCCTATTAAGAAATTTGCCATCAGTAGTTTAACTGGAAGTGTTTATTCTAAAGTGAAACTTGAAAACCTTAGTATCGGGGCACCTGGGTGGTTCAATGGGTTAAAGTCTCTGCCTTCGGCTCAGGTCATAATCCCAGGGTCCTGGGATCGAGCCCCACATCGGGCTCTCTGCTCAAGGGGAGCCTGCTTTCCCCCCACCTCTCTGCCTGCTGGTGATCTCTGTCAAATAAATAAATAAAATCTTTTAAAAAAGAATAAAAAAAAAAACCTCAGTGTCTATAATTGTCAAACCTCTTACTCATTAATTTTGTTGTAAAAATAATTCTAGGTATGTAAATGAATCAAGGACTGCGATTTTTTTTCCAGTTTTGCTTTTTTTTTTTTTTTAACTTTTATCTAAATTTATTTATTAAGAATTTCTGTTGGTTTTTTGGGAGGGTTTTGTTTGTTTTAGAAGAATTGCACTTGTTTAGTAACAGATTTTCATGTTGTACTCCAGGTCTTTCTTCCCTCCATAATTGTATAAAAGTATAAGATTTTATTTATTTATTTGACAGAGAGAGATCACAAGTAGGCAGAGAGGCAGGCAGAGAGAGAGAGAGGAGGAGCAAGCTGTAAAGTACAGTCATGTCCATTATTTCTACTTTGGAGAAATAGAACCTGGCCTCTCACTTTTATGTATATAACCAAAAGCAGTTAAAATTCTGTTTATTCTTGTTCTTAGATGGTGTCCTCCCTGAAGTGGCTTTTTTTTTTTTTTTAAGATTTTATTTATTTATTTGACAGACAGAGAACACAAGTAGGCAGAGAAGCAGGCAGAGAGAGAGAGAGAGAGAGAGAGAGAGAAGCAGGCTCTGCACTGAGCAGAGAGCCCGATGCGGGGCTCAATCCCATGACCCTGGGATCATGACCTGAGCTGAAGGCAGAGGCTTTAACCACTGAGCCACCCAGGCGCCCCTGAAGTGGCTTTTCTTAATGGAAGCTCTAAGAGCATCCATTTTTGCTTTTTTGAGACAATACTTTATCCATAGTAATGATTTTATTACATGAGGTAGAGGTTTTTAGTTAAAACTTGTTTGGTAGAGATGGTCTTCTGTAAAATGAAAGTCACTACTGCATTTTTCAGTCCTACCATTAGTAGACTGTGTTCTTTTGTGTGACTACAAAATAAACAGTAGCCCCTATGTTACAGGTTGCTGACCTGGTTTTAAGATTTTTTTTTTTTTTTTAATTTATTTGTCAGAGAGAGAGACCAAGCACACAAGTACAGGGAGGGGCAGGCAGAGGGTGAAAGCAGGATCCCCACTGATCAATAATCCCAATGTGGGACCAATCCCAGGACTCTGGGACCATGACCTGAGCTGAAGGCAGCTTCTTAACCCACTGAGCCACCCAGGAGTCCCGCTGACAGGGTTTTAATTAGTTCTTCCATGCAAAGTACTTAGAACAGTGACCAGCATATAGTTGGTGCTCAGTATTAAAAGGGAAATTTTGGGGCACCTGGGTGGTTCAGTGGTTTGGGGCTCTGCCTTCAGCTCAGGTCATGATCCCGGGGTCCTGGGGTTGAGCCCCGCATCTGGCTCTCTGCTGAGCAGGGAGTCTACTTCCTCCTTTCCCTGATGCCTGCTTCTCTGCCTACTTGTGATCTCTCTCTCTGTCAAATAAATAAATAAAATATTTTTTTAAAGTAAATAAAAAATAAATAAAGGGGAAATTTTGATTCTAAGGTGAATAAATGATATGTTTAACCCTGTAGTCCAAGAAATATAAATGTAGATTTGTTGTTCTTTTATGTATAGCACCTATTTTGATAATGCTCTTTGGAATATAATGAGATTTTTATTCTTGGTTTTTATGGAAACTTCAGCAAAATATGTAATACATCATTTAAATTGTTTTTCCTCTCACATCTGGAGATACTGGCTGAAAATTTTTTAGTTGTAAACTTTTTTTTTAAATGCTACTGTGTCTTATACTTTATTTATCTAGCACTTAGATTTTCAAAACATGTTTTGACCCCCGATTATGATTTTGTCATTGCAGGCAAGAAGACAACAAGACCCTAGTCCTGGTTCCAATTTAGGTGGCGGTGATGACCTCAAACTTCGTTAATTAGCAGCACAGCAGATGTGCCCCCCCATCTTTACATATACTTTGTGTCTAGTTGGCAGAAATAATCATTATTAAAAGACCAGAAACTGTGATAACTGGAGGTACTGCGGTCTATTTCTCAACCTTCGGCAGTAACAAGACATCACAAACTGCCATGGTTTTGCACTATGATTATAGAATACCTGCATTTCTAATTTTGTATGCATTAGCCAGTAATTTGAATTTTTTCCTATGCAAGCTTACTTTGTTGGCATTATTTTAGTGAGTTGAAACTATCCACTTGTAAAACTCTTTTTTTCTCCATTTTAATTTAAAAGATTCTGTCATTTAAAAACAAGTTAAATTTAAATTTTTATCAGAGGGTTTCCCCCAATCAGGTGTTCTAATTATTTTTGGAATTTTAGATGTGTTGGTTACACAACTTCATTTTAAATAGACACTCTTGGTCATTTGTTTTGTTTCTGTGTTTTTATAGTTTGTGGCATTTTAAAACTGCTGATGTGTTTGCATTATTTTAAACAAGCTAAAAACCTAGTAGCATAGAGCTGTCTGCCACAGCCTTTTAACACAAAGTTTACAGTTGTTAAAGTTGCAGTATCCTTTTAAATGTTGATAATCAGCTCCTTTTTCTTTTCTCCTTAAACGTAAAAATGTTTAATTGGTATTAACTCTAATCTGCCCCAGATCTGTTTTACATTTTGTTCTGTAATCATGTGTTTGTGTGGAGATATTCTCCACAGATGGTAATAATATTCCACTGAAATGCCTAAAGAAGTCGCAGGCTGGCTTCTGTTTTATTCAGGGACTTTTTTTTTTTTTTTTAAGTCAATCAGAAAAGGGATACTGGAGCTTCTTCATGTATGTAACAACATATTAAACTGGAGACAGTGATGAATCAGCTACCAAGGTAATATTGTATTAAAATCATGTTTAAGATAGCTGCTTTTATGTGTATTTCATAATGCATGCTTTTGTAAAAATGCTGGGTGATGAAAAATTAGTCTTAGAAAATGTTCATCTGTGCAGAGGATACATTTTCTTCATTTATTATGGAAAAAAACTCACAGGTTATATATATGGTATTTTCCAAAAGGACTATAATAGAACCTTTTGAAATGAATTAGTATAAGAATATTTTTTAAATAGGCTCACTGTCAAATTGGATGCAACTTTGTTTTTAATATAAGACTGGAAAAAAGTGCTAAGTCATTTGGTACCTCCTTGCAAATATTTTTCATGTCACATTCATTAAATGTTACTGCATTTCTGAATTTTTGCAAAAATGTATTTTATCATCATAGAGTGGCATTATTTTAAAGAGTTTGAAAAACTGACATGGTCATTTCAGAAAAGAAACTGAAGTCTGAATAAGGTCATCGCATTTAAAACACACACACACACACACACACACACACACCACACACATATACTTTACTTGATGAGGGAGGTGTGACTTTTATTGTATATAGGTCTTATAATTCATAAACATATCCTGTATCTCGGAATAAAAATATTGTTATATATTTGAAGTCATGCATGGTAAGGAGTGTGTTTAAGTCGTTATGAACAATAATGCATCATAAAAGACCATGCTGATCTTGTGTAACGAAGTACTATGAATGAATTTGGTTGGTATTTAGTGTTGTGCAGCTCACATGTTTACACACTCAGTGCCCTAACTTCCCCTGAGGGAATTGCCTTTTAAGTGGCCCTTAAAGTGGTGTTTTAAGGTTCCTTTATCACAGAGCTCCTTGGTTTTCGACTTCTGCACTTAATTTTTTTAATAACATGATGATGATGGTACATTTTTCTCTATAGCTTCTAGCTAAGGGCTTTCATTCCACCAGTAACTAAGATCAAATGTTATTAAATGTTCATATCGCCATCCTTCTGTAAATACTCCATTGTTCTGCCATTCAGCTCCGCGCTGTGCTTCTGTCTGTCTTAATGCTGGCATTAAGATCATGAGTCTTTTTTCTCCAATAGTGCAGGCTTTGGAAACTTTTATTAAGTTATTGATGCAATTTGATATTTTTCCATAATCTGTATTTAAACAAAATGACATCATTGCATCATCTTTTCTAAATTCATCTCCATTAAAACTTGCCTTAAGCTACCAGATCGCTTCTGCCACCGTTAGCCATACTGTATGTTTGTATGTTTCATTTACTTTCACAATAAACTTCTGTGTAGTGGAAAAAAAAGGTCTTGGTTCTTCATTGACATAACCCAACAATTTCTGTTCTGGTGCTCGTTATGATATGAAAATTGACTTTGTTGTTTCCAAAATGTTCTTTCATCCTTTTTTTTTTAACCTCTAAACAACAACAGTGGCATCTAGTGGTCATTTCTGCTCATTCCAAAGAAAACCTTCAATGTAAATATCACAGTATCAAACAGACTTGGGACTTGGCTCCTTGGTGGCAGAGTAGGTTGAGCGTTTCAGCTCAGGTGGTGATCTCAGGGTTTTCATCTAGCCATGGACTGAGCTCGGGATTCTCTCTCCCTCTCCTTCTGCCCCTCCTGCTCATGCGCTCTCTCTCAAATAAGTAAATAAATCTTAAAAAAGAAAACATACTTAGGCATTTTTCCTATACCAAACTTTTACTTTAGAAACATGCCTTAAGCCTGATTTATAATGGAAAAAACTTACTTATTCACCACCATATTTACTGCAAATAACAAATAAAAATGGTGAATTGGCACCATTAAGCAAAATTCCAAAGAATAAGATTCATACTCTGAGGGTTAATTTCAAAAGTTGTTTCGGCATCATGGTTTTAGTTAAGTGTATCATCTCTAGAAACAGGTATTTGGATATGCTAGTTTGGGGCTGCTTGGGAAAACAAATACCTTAATTGGTTTATGCCTCATTTGGCAATAGGGAGCTTTTTCAAGCTTTTTTTTTTTTTTTTTTTTTTTTAAATTTTTTTTTAATTTTTTTTTTTTTTAAGATTTTATTTATTTGCCAGAGAGAGAGGGAGAAAGAGCGAGCACAGGCAGACAGAATGGCAGGCAGAGGCAGAGGGAGAAGCAGGCTCCCTGCCAAGCAAGGAGCCCGATGTGGGACTCGATCCCAGGACGCTGGGATCATGACCTGAGCCGAAGGCAGCTGCTTAACCAACTGAGCCACCCAGGCGTCCCCTTTTTCAAGCTTTGTATGAAGCTTGTATGAATTATGCATTATGTATACCTTAAGCTTTGTATGAAACTTGTATCAATTATGCATTATTGTATAACACATTGCTCCAAAGTCTAGCAGCCTAAAACAGTAAACATCATCTCACGGTTTCTGTGGATCGGAAATTTGAAAGAAGCTAAGTTCAGTGGTCTGGTCCAAGGTCTCTGCTGAGGTTAGAGTCCGGTTGTTAGCACAGCCAGGTTATCATCATCTCAAGGATTGAGTGTGGCTGAAAGACTCCCTTCTAAACCCGTTCAATTGGTCATTGACTGGCCAGTTCTTCAGAGACCTTTGGGTGAAAGTCCTTGATTTCTTGCTAGGTTTTAGAAAAGAGACCTTCAGCTTCTTGCCATGTGGGTATCTCCATAGGGCAGCTCACAGCTTGGCAGCTGGCTTTCCCTAGAGCTTAGTGATTCAAGATGCAAGCCACAGTCTTATTTCAAAATCTAGTCTTGGGGGTGCCTGGGTGGCTCAGTCGGTTAAGCATCTGCCTTTGGCTCAGATCCTTGGATTGAGCCCCACATCAGGCTCCCTGCTCAGTGAGGAGCCTGTTACTCCCACTCCCCTGCTTGTGCTTGTTCTCTCTCTCAAATAAAATCCTTAAAGAATAAAAAATAAATAAGAACCTAACCTTGGGTGGGGGCGCCTGGGTAGCTCAGTCAGATAAGTGTCTGACCTTAGGTTCAGGTCATGATCTCAGGGTCCTGGGATGGAGCGCCACCCCCAACCCCCTCGGGCTCCATGCTCAGCAGGGATACTTCCTTTTCCTCTCCCTCTGCCCCTCCCCCTATTCATGCTGTCTCTCTCGGGAATAAATCTTTAAAAAAAATAATAACCTAATCTTGGGGAGCTATAGTCTAAGTTAGAGGTGACTCACAGGGTCAGGCCCACACTCAAATGGAGGTGAATTAGGCTTCATCTCTTCAAGGGTAGTGTGTCAAAGGGTTTGTGGAAATATTTTTTAAAATCACCACAGCACATTGCCACATCTGTGTGTGTGTGTATTTACAAGACAACATTGGTATTTTCATCTCCCAAATAATTGTCTTTTGCAGGCATTTTCCAAGGCATGATTACCCATAGATAGCATCCATTTTTTTCTTACAGCACCACCACACGTACATATATGGCATTTTAAAAAAGATTTTATTTATTTGAGAGAGTGCAAGCTAGTATGAGCAGTGGAGGGGTACTGGGCAGAGGGAGAGGAAGAAGCAGACTCTTCACGGAGGAGGGAGCCTGACAAGGGACTCCATCCCCTCTCCCTGGCATCCTGACCCCAGCTGAGGAGCCCAGCCAAGTGGAAGGCAGATGCTTAACCAACCAAACCACCCAGGTGCCATATATGGCATTTCAAAAATGTGTCAAGACCAGAAAATTAAAATTGTAGGGTGATATCATGGATGAAAATGGTAGTTGTTTTTTTTTTTTTTTTCAATATAGGATACTTTTAAAACAGTTGCTATCTTAAGTTAAATCTCAACTTTTGGGTTAGAATATAAATCTCGGGGCACCTGGGTGGCTCAGTGGGTAAAGCCTCTGCCTTCGGCTTAGGTCATGATTTCGGTCGAGCCCCACATGGGGCTCTCTGCTTGACAGGAAGCCTGTTTCCACCCCCCTCTCTCTGCCTGCCTCTCTGCCTACTTGTGATCTCTGTCAAATAAATAAATAAAATCTTACAGGAAAAAAAAAAAAAGAATCTAAATCTCAACTTCTGGTTAGAAAAATTTAACCAACTTTGGGGCACCTGGGTGGTTCAGTCGGTTGAGCATCCGACTTTTGATTTTGGCTCAGGTTACAATCTCGTTCCTGGAATTGAGCCTCACGTTGCGTTCCCCACCGAATATGGAACTTGTTTGGGATTCTCTCCCTCTTCCCCAATCCTCCCCCCAACCCTCTGTGCCACTTGTGCTCACTCTCTCTCTCACATAAATAACTTAAGCAACTTTGCGTCATTATCGGCCTTATTCAGGTTTCAGAAACATTACAAAATGTAAATAGATAAGATACAGAGAGGAATTTTTGATTACAGGAGATAATCTATATCCACAATATCTCCAATATGGTAGATACTAGCCACATGTGGCTATCAAACCCTTAAAATGTGGCAAGTACAACCAAGAGACTGATTTTTAAATTTTTTAAATTTTTATTTTTTTATTTGACAAGTACTTACTGTAAGCCAACTATGTGCCAGGCACTTTTCTAGAGATGAATAAAATGGGCAAAGTTCCTCACCTAGTGAAGTTTACATCTCCTGGGAAGATGAACAATAAGTAATTAAGTGGTGAAGTGATAGACAGCTGTGAATTAACTAAAATAGCATCATGGGATAAATGGTGATGAGGTCAAACAAAGGAAGAATTAGGGAAGATGTGGCAGGAAGTAACGTTTTTGCTGGGATCTAAATAACAAGTGAACGGGAAACACTTCCGTAGAGAAAAGGGGAGAATAAAGTCACTATACTAACAATTATGAAATGTCACTGGGGAGAGAGACTGAGGGCTTTGGACCCTGAGAGAGGGGAGTGTCTTTTGTAAGACTGACTGGGAGGGACTCCCCAATCCATTGTTTTTCACAGCTGTTGGGCCTGCCCATTCCTGATTTGCAGGATGCAGTTAACCCTTCATTTCTGCTTTCAAACTGGCTGTTGGTTCTTCTCTTGACAAATATAACCAATAGTAACCATGGTAACGAGATTCTGTTTTCTAAGCTTTTCACCTAGGCTTCAAACATGTACATTTCCCGCCTTCTAAGCTATTACATGTGACCATTTAATAGGATTGGTATCCTTCCAGCCCTCCAATTCAGTTCCCCCAGCCATTGTCCTGAGGAACGCCATCATCCATTCAGCTACCCAAAGTTGGAAACCGTGTTTTTATTCTTTAATCCTTTTCTACCTCATATTCTGCATTCATAGATCCTGCCAAAGGATTCCATCAATTCTGTCACTATCAGATTTTAAAATTTCAGTCACACACAAACCATTTACTATGAGTCAGACACTCCTGTGCTAACCAATCTGTGAAGTATGATCATTTTACAAATGAGGAAACAAAGGCACAGAGAAGCTAAGTAACTTGCCCA